CTGTGGCATAATAAATCGGAGTACCTGGAAAACAAAAGCATTTCTATAGCTTTTTCAAAACGTAAAACCTGATTAGGAGTCACTGAGTATGAGGGGTTTGCCTGTCTGTAGTCACATCACTCAGTCTGTGAAGGGCTTCCTCCTTTGACAGACCTGCATTAAAGGCTTGGGATGTGATCCATGTTCCATTTTCTGTCCTTACGTACTAGTTGCCCTTTGAAATTGAGGTGCTCTTTACACTCCCACACACTGTATGCATATATAAGCAGGTACACACACACACTTTGGTCTTTGCTGAACAAATGGCTTTTTACTTTATAAAAAAATCATCTCTCTTGCTGTCTCTACACAGCTACTGAAGTCTTTTTCCATTAGCTCGACCACCTCAGAACCATAATGGCCATAAACTTAATCAAGCACCAGTTCTTTTATGAGGCCATTTTCATAATATGGATAACAGCACATTCGTCTCCAGCTAAATAAAACCGCATTGCTCCGCCTTGGCCAAGGTACTCCGACACGGTTAATAAGATGTTTACCTCAAGCTGAACGCCCTGCAACGGAACCAGCCTCCAAACCACGCTCACATTCCAAACCCGGCGTAATTACAAGCTCGGTTGATTAATTATGTCTCAACAATATGCTGCACTCCAACGCCACAAGGGCTAATTAACAAAATGAACAAGATGGGCAGGAACACTTATTAGGAAGTTCAAGCTCACTCTCTGAATTTGGCAATGCTGTTTACAGTCCTAAAACACAGGGACAGAATATGTGCGGATATCGCACAGGCGGAGACTAACAATAGCACACCAGTCCAAGCATGTAGAGTAAAAGAGCCTTCGGAGGACACTGATACAGCACAGTGGCTGGCTGTGCACCTGACAACGCACACAGCAGAAACAGCATGCAGCCGAATCCATCTGCCTTATTAACCGGTCCTGCTAACAACGCATCTTACCGACGGCGCATCTTATCTCTGCAGCTTCGGCCTAGAGGCAGTCTCACAGAACTCTAATCAGATGGGAATAAACAATCTGACCTTGACAACACCTGATTAGATATACGATCTGACCCTAGGATAAGAAAGAAGAACAACATTCCAGGCAGAGTTCAATTAGCCCTGCGTCTCCGAATTTCTCAATCTTGTGCTTAAAATACTTTTTTTTAAACAGTCTTTTTGTTCAACTGACTGCAGCTTTCACAAGAGTAACAAAAAACATTCTTTAAGACATTACACAGACTTACACAAGGAGAATGACCAACAATAGAATACTACAACAGACAGTCCAAAGGTTGCACAATGCAAACTCCAAACTCAGCTCACTTAAGGAACATGTGACTGGAAATTCCTGCTGTCCATGGAATATGCATTCCGCCTAGCTTGACATGACAAGATTTGTGTCTTATTCACGAGGGAAGGTATTACAGAACCATCATGAATGAGAAATCCTATTAAGATGAGGAGGTTGCCATTAAATGTCATTTCATAAATCAAATGAAATTCATGTACAGCTTATTGTCAAGATACAGCCTCCCCTGAGAGCCTTTTGGGGTGGAACCTCAGTGATAATGACAGCATTTTGTTTGGAAGCACCATCATTTTTCATCAAAAATAAATAAAGAAAGAACAAAATAACTAGAGACTTGTAATTAAATGCTGCAATGAACTCTGCCAGCCTTGTTTGTTTCTTTGGGATTCATTAATACGTGGAGCACTTAGTGGGATGTGAAAGCAGGCAATCTTTCCAGTCTTTCCTGAGCTATTAGCTAATGCGAGATGGGCATTAGCTAAGACAACTGGGCATCAGAACAAAACAATGCCATTTAGACTGCATCAGAAGATGAGCAGGAAGAAGTCATAATACAGTCAGTGATATGCACACTCCACTGGTGCACACATGCCTTGTATAATCAGTGTGCCTGTGGTCTGTTCACAATCTCCATCAAATTAGAAAAGATGTCTGGAAAGACTTCATACTGGAGTAAAAAGATTCTTGTTTTGATATTACTGCCAACGACTTTGCAAGCGGAAACAGTAGGACAGCTGAACTACATTACTTAGCTTAATATTCTTGGATGGTGGCAGAGCAACCCATAGCCCATCTGTCCAGGGGGAGAAGCCTGTGCTGACTTCCCCCCATATCCCAGAGATGTAGATAGAATTACAAAACACAGCTATATACGATCCTATTGTTTCAAATTACACCGGAGTCAATAAAGGCATCTGTCATAGTGTGACACAGCAAGGTGTGCAAATCTCACTGTCAAAACATGCCACAGAAAATCACTGAGATATGTGCCCCCCGAACCAGAACCAGAATCATACCTACAGTTGCGCTTTGAACTGTTGATCGTGTTGTCTTGCGGCTCTGCCGTAGCCCCTTTTTTCGGATGACACGAGCTCTGGAGGCTCAAGACACCAACTTCTCCTCTGGAGCCTTGCAAATCCGGAGCCTTACAATATGATTAAGTTCCCACCTTCTGGCATAGCGCACACTGTACGCACAGTCCAGGCGCTTCCAAAAATAAAAAACATAATATTCACAATGCCAAAGCGGAATGTCCCGCCGCCCCCCCCCGTGTCCTCCGAATTTCCCAAATCCCTCACAGCGTGTTCTCCTTTATTATTATCCAGCATGCACCTCTCTCCGTCAGAGCACCATGGACAGCCTCCCCATCACGCACTGCTACTCCGACAGCAACCTGGTTTTACATGCTGCCAAATACAGGCAGCTTGGTAGTCTCGTGTAATCCAGGGGTGTACTGAAGTGCCCCTGTTGCTCTTAGAATGACTTTAAGCATCAGTGACCTTATCGCATGCAAGAGTCGGTCTAACAAGTCTTTGAGATTTACTGTTCAGTAGGATGGTGAGGGCTGCTACGAGCACTTGAGATTCCCGTGTCAGTGAGCAGCGAGTAACAAAGGTGCGCTGAGCGCTATGCAAACAATACATCAGTGGCTAATAGCAGTCAGGTGCCGCTTTCGAGCAGATAAACGCACTTTACCGGCTATTATCCCGGCTATCAGTGCAAGTGCCGTGATCATAAGCGGGTGGAAAGCGAATCTGAAAGCGTTTTGCTTGAATTTTTAAAGAGCGTGAGCTTGCAGCGGTGATTGACGCCTTCAGGACAGAGGGCAAGATGAAAGAAAAAATATGAAATACATATTGCTACAGAAATTATTTCTTAGATCTCAACAGATCCACCTGCTTTAATCTTACTGCTCAAATGCATTCTCAGTAATCACAGCCTCTAAACATAGCAGCAATTACCCAGTACAATCCCCACAGCGCCCCGACTTCTCCCCAACAGAGAGCTCGCCCTTACCGGGTAGCGAACCGCGCTCTTCTCCTCCCAACTGGTGATTTTCCGTTTCACACCACGGCCAGGCATTTGCCAATCAAATCAGCGTGCAACCAAAGCTTTCCCCGTTGGGATATGAATGATGAATATGCGTGATAAATTGTCCATTTTTCCACATCCACAACAGTTCACGCTCGACCCGCCCCCGGGCGGCGGTGATTGGTCAGAAGCTCCTCGCCGTCTTCGTCGCCCCGTAAAGAAAAACACACACATCTGGACGCGACCCTGCACAGCTGGAGCGCTTCGGAAAGCCCGAATTACGCACAGGAATTGAACCAACACAGAGGAACGTCACATTTTCTCGTGGTTCACTATGAGTGTTGAATGTAGTACGTTGTTTATTTTGGCTAAAGATAGCAATCTTGGTGGGAAGCATTGTTTCCAGTACACCAGCGTAAACAGAGCATAAGCAGGTAACAGTTCTTTATAAGGGAGACCAGTATAGAAGAATAACCTTGCTTCAGCAGTTCTATCAGCTGTTTAAAAATAGCTTTTCGTTGATGGCCAAGTTGAGAATAGGCTACAACACATTATTACTCTACATTAAATTAGAGTGTAGCAAGATGCCTCTTTTTTTATTTTTTGGCAACAAAGACTTATATCCATATAACGGGCAGATTCTACAGATTTATAATATCCGTTTTTCCCTCTTGCAAACACCAATAATATCTGAATTCTCCTATGGACTGCCGCTGTGTTCTAGTAGCCTATGTTTGTATGAAGTAATGTCGTTCAATGTTACATGGTTAAATTTACACATCTTTGCATGTTTGACGAGCTACAACATTTTATTTTTCATGAGGGAAGTGTGTGTATTTTTTTTAATGAAGTAGAAACTACGGAAAAAAGACCTATGCCAGAGCGCCTCAGTGTAAAACCGGGATTTCTTAAACACTTGCGCCGCTGTGCGTCCGGAAAACACCTTTCCCTTCTATCCTTCCTTACGGATTCTTATTGTCTTGCTGACAACATCGTATCTTGGAGCCGTACCAACCCAAGCGTGGAGAGAGGCAGGCTGGGCAAGCGAGACTAATCACTGTGCAACAGTCCAGAGTCTTTTTGAGGATTAGTGACAGCTGCCACAGTTTGAATCGTGATTGCAGCAAGCGTTTACAGAAAAGAGAAAGAAACAGAGGGGTCCATGATGGAAATAGTGCATTATTTATATCGCAAAGGAATACATCGGCAATTTGAAAAGCAAATTCTGGTATGCATATTGCAAATCAAGATAGAGTTTATATAGCAAAAAACAAAACAAAACCCTGCGTACCCAGAGACATCTGCATAAAAGGTACCATCAAATTAGCCAAGAGTTCTAATCACACACACACAACATTCCCATTATCTTCTTTTGTTGTATTCCTTTGCTTAATCTTGAGCAATGATTTAAGAACTCGAGATACTGTTACTCAGAATGCTGAGTAACATTTTTCTGACGTAACATGAATGCATCATCAGGCTCCTCCCAAACCAGAAATAAAACCCGCTTGATCTTTATTTTCAAAACCTCGTTTCATTCTCCCAGGCAGAGCATTCCTTCTCGCACTTTATAAACACTGAGAGACAGCCGACCGAGAGCTCAACGGAACGCCTCGCCTTGCAGACATAACTCGGGGTAAGAATTCAGGCGAGCCTCGCTGCGTTTATTGATCGGAGAGCTTGCCCGGTCAGCTGTGTTGCTGAACTATTAGCAGCCTTCATTCAGGAGAGACACGCTTTGAGTTTACGGGAAAACATGTGCGGTTCTAATGTCTTTTCACGAGTACTGTGGTTGTTTTTATGCTGCGCTATTGCAAGGTAAGCGAGGATCTGACATTGTCATGAAACTATTACATAATTATTCATTTCCGCTTAAGAATTACGCTTTAACGACGCTGTTATTCAAACCATTTGTTTGGTTATAGTTTCCCCTTTACGCCATAGTTTAGTTTATAACGGGACAACAAGCTCGTGCAGATCCACGATTAATGCAGATGATTTTCTACCAGAAGGTTCAAATGACCCATCGGTTGGGTTTTGTAACCCTGCAGGTGACAGCTCATGGACCACACGTGCTTACATTTTGCCGTTGCTGTAGGTGTCTTTATGTGCAAGACCATAATCCTGTGCGGATTATGCATTCTCTTCCTGTCTCCAGCGACATGAAGTGGGGTTTTTTCACAAACAATTCTTTTTCTCATGTCTAGCTGCTCTCCTTTAACCGCTGATCGTCAGGCAAACATAACCAGCATGCTGGAACAGCAGGCAGATCGGGTCATGGCCCTCGGTGAATGGGAGGAACGCTGGCAACAGAACAAAATCGGCTTCCATCAGCCTGAAGTGCACAAGTAATGACCCCACTTTTTTATGTAGTTCAGTGGAGTGAGGGTGCAAAAGTAGCCCAAATGCATGTAAGACTTGTGAAGATTACATCAACTATAAAGGTGCATCACCACCTAAAGCTGTGTCCTGTTAAAAGCTTTAGAAAGTGAGCTTAGATTATCTATTTTTAAGACAAGTACCATCAATACGGCTGATCCAGACATCACCAGACATCACCTCAACATGAGATTGCAGCAGGAATGTGTATTTTGCTGTTAATACTGTTTTTCTAACAGAATGCTGAAGAAAAACATTGACAAAGTTCTCAATGGACGAACAGGAGTTCGCTTCTTCTTCCCTCTGTGTGGGAAAGCAGTAGATATGAAGTGGTATGAAAACATCTTACTAAATTAAATTAAGTTGATCAGTATTAGTGTCAGTTGTCATCTTTGCTAACCTTTTGTTTTTTCGTGATTCTCAGGCTAGCAGACATGGGCCATTCAGTGGTTGGAGTGGAGATTTCTGAAAAGGCTATTCGTCAGTTTTTTGAGGAGAACAACATGACGTACAGTGAGGAGCCTGTGCCTGCTATACCTGGAGCAAAGGTTTACAAGGTTGGTGAACTTCATGTGTGCAAACACGACCACTAAATGATCTAAGCTGAGGTAGTCAGTGTTATTGCTTCTCAGCAATTCAGTGTCTTTACGCTGAATAGAGTTTTTTATGGTGATGCCTGAGTTTATTATGTGCATGTGAGCAGCTCTTTCTTCTGAAAACCGTTTTGATCTCAGTGAGATTTTGGGCAGAATGGCTGCAAGCTACAAGAAAGTTATATTGCTTACTTTAAAACAGACACAAGTTGTTCATCCGTGCTGTCTTTTGTTTTTAGAACTCAGAGAAAAACATCTCCCTGTATCAGTGTAACCTGTACAACTTCTCCAAGTGAGTAAACTACATATTGTTTTATGCTTTTTAAAATAAAATAATTAAAATTACTGTTAAATTGAGTTCCTTTCTAACTTCACAGTTCCATCGAGGGTCAGTTTGGAGCAATTTGGGACAGGGCCTCTCTCGTGGCCGTCAACCCAGGAGACAGAGAAAAGTAAGATGAGATGAAGACCCTCATTTTAAACCCTTAGAATGACATTTATTTCAAACTAAATAAACTCCAAAACATTATGTTCTACACAGTTTGATACTGTATTATATAATGCAGCGGTCCCCAACCCCCGGGCCACGGTCCGTGAAACGTTTGGTACCGGGCCGCGAGAGTTGAGGCTCGGGTGTGAAATGTATGGTTTTCAGGGTTTTTAGCGTTATTTTGTTATTGTTTTTATCATTAACTCGGTTTTCCTGGGTCTTTTCGCGTGTGTTGTGAATAAATCTTCTTCTTTTTCGGTACCGGTACTAGTTTTATTTTGTTGGATTTATCCGCGACACTTTAAAGGCCGGTCCGTGAAAATATTGTCGGGCATAAACCGGTCCATGGCGCAAAAAAGGTTGGGGACCGCTGATATAATGTACCCATACACGGATGTCCCATGCCAATGCTATTCTTTTATTTTGTAGGTATGCAGCTCTCATTATTACTTTGATGGCGAATGACTGCAGATACCTCCTGGACACTTTACTGTACAATCCTGATTTATATCAAGGTATTCTATATCATTTCTATATTGTGTGTGTGTGTGTGTGTGTGTGTGTGTGAGAGAGAGAGAGAGAGAGAATAGACATAAAATACCATATTTTAATATTTTAAAATCTGTTGATCTCTTAGGGCCTCCCTTTTTCGTGCCTGATGAGCAGGTGCATAGTCTGTTTGGTGAGTACTATGAAAAATAATTATGGCTGAGCATTTTATATATTAACCAAAATACAAGTGATAACTGACAGATTTGTCTATAACTCTACAAAATATGGGGTCTTTTTTCCAGATAATTAGAAACGTTTTTAATTGTGTATTATTTTGTTTTACTTTCTGTAAATTCAGGGAGCAGCTGTGGTATAGAGTTGCTGCAGTCAGAGGATGCTCTCACGGACAAACAACGAAATTGGGGACTAGATAAATTTCTTGAAAATGTGCACCTCATCACGCCAAAGAGCAACTAAAGGCTCAGAGTTTAGAGAAAGAAGAAGAAAATCCCGGGAAGGAAAAATAAAGTGGAAAGTGAAAGTGCCTGAAATTCAAGAGAATTTATAATTCTCCTTTTTATTTGTTGTTGTTATGGATCAAATAACATGATCATTAAAAAACACGATCGTAAAACAAGATGTCTGGTGTTTTTAATGAGTTTTGTAGCTGTTTAATTTTATTTATGACTTTTGCACTCAAAACAAAACATAGAATTCAGAAAATATTAATTCTATGATAAACAATCCACTGAATTTAGAATATGTCGAAAGGCTAAACTGTGGGAGTCACCCCTGCGTAAACCTTTTATTCAGTCGTGGCTTTGAGCATTAAGCATCCAAGTTCTCTAACACATTTCAAACAGAACTCCAGAATTCATAGAAGCATATGTATTATTAAAGATAGAATTAGTAAGATGAACAAGATAAGATTAATAAGATTGTATACCCTCATATACTGGTCATGTATTTGCACGTACACCTTCACAGATGCTATACACTCGAGTGTAAGCACAGAAATACACCAGCACAAGCCTGCTTAGAGGCAACCACCCTCATCCCCGCTTTCCTGCACTGGTTTATGATTGTTGGTGTCGTTAGTTATTGTGCTGTTTACTTGTAGTTAATGTGTATATGCATAAATACACTCACCTTGCACATTACCAGTACCAGGTTGGACCCCCTTTTTGCATTCAGAAGTGCCTCAATCGTTCATAGCATAGATTCAATAAAGTGCTGGAAACATTCCTTAAAGACTTTGGCCCATATTGACATGACAGCGTCACACAGTTACTGCAGATTTGTCAGCCACTGTCATCTCACTGTCATGCTCATGAAAATAATTTGAGATGATTGGAGCTCTGTGGCATTAAGGTGTCCACCTGGAAGCAGCCATCAGAAGATGGGTACATGGTCGTCATTATGGTTTTGACATGGTCATCAACAATACGCAGGTAGCTGTGGCATTTAAACACTGCTCAGTTGATGCTAAGAGGCCCAGAGTATCAGAATCGTTATTAGTATTTCTTAATGCCTCCAGCCAAGCAAAGAATTTCATAAAGGTCCCAACTCCTTGTACGTGCAAAATAACCCCGAGTAAAAAAAAGAAAGAAAAAAAAGCACATATTCATTACTCTATCCCAAATATTTTTATTAAAACACCTCGATGAGGTATTTTGGGTTTGTGCAGCCACTCCTTCTCAGATCAAAGTAAAGAGTTTTTCTTCATTTTTTTAAGCTACTTTTACAACAGCTTTTCTCAATAGACTGAAAAACAGAAACCCTAAAAGAAAACTGCCTTGTTTTAGGCACATCAAGAAGGAGTCAGACGACCTTCGGTTCATCCTGGTCAATTACCTCTGAGAGATCGGGATGCTTCCTCCGTAGGATACCATAAACGTATGAAAAAAAAAAACCCAGAGAATTTATTATTTTGGTAAGAGAGAGAGAGAGAGAGAGAGAGAGAATCAATCAAGCTTTTCTACAAAACGTTATACCACTCCGGGTCAGGAGGGGCGGTATAGCACGGATGACTACGCCGGATGGAAGCGTAACCGGAAGCGTGGCAGGGACTTTCCCTTTGACCTTCATCCTGCTCCATGATCAGCCGTTAAATCTTTCCTCAATATTGCTGTAATGTAACAACAAAGGTAATTTTTTAAGATCAGACAGGTCCCAAAACATTCCTTACACACCCCCACAGTCACTGAATTAGCATCTGTGGCACAAATAAGCTTCAAGGACCTACTTGTTTTTTTAGAACCGACCTTTGACACTTGGATGTTGGCTTAATTTTTACCCAAAGAGAAATTTGACCCTAATAAAAAAAAACACGATACTGTGGTGAATACTTACCTCAACTTTGATGGGTTTTTTCACAGCTATTTATTTAGAAAAAAAGTAAACACGTTACAAGGACACAATGCACATTGCAGAGTACATGAATGGGAAGTAGGAATTTCTCCTCTCTGTACTTACACTCCTCCCTAACAAATGTCAAGGACACAGTTACACGATCGCTAAAGTAATCTGCTTTTGAATAAAAGAAAACCATATAAGCATGTGCCCTGGAATCTCGGTTGTAAAAAAAAAAAGAAAAAAAAAAAGAAGCACTACACATTACTTTTCTTATGTTTAGTATACAGGAGTTGCTGCTCACACTCTGAGTTGCACTAATGTGTCTGTCAGATGTCCCAAATTGAATGTCAGGCCGCACACGCACTCACGCCGGACACCTCCTTGACCTTATTTCCACAAGCCCTTGACTCAGCTGCAAAGTGCTTACGGGGTCAGTTTCATCAGAATTATCTGCCGTCATTCAGACATAAGTTGAGCAATAGTTTAACCAATTTCCATCAAAGGGATGCCAGAATTAAACAGAACATAGGATGTAAGTTAAGGAAATATAAGTCTGACTATGGAGCACATCTCCTTCGGCGTTCACAATAATGGATTGCATTTCTCTCAGTCAACTGACTGTTTAGGGGGAAAAGCAGCTAATAGTTAGTGGGCTCTGTGTTTGTGGTTGTTGTTTGTTAATGACACTAGGAGTGAACAAAAGAAGCAAAAACCCTGTAAAGATGCAGTCTGTGAAAGTCTGGTTTATACCAGAAATCTTACCAGCTGTAACTGGGTTTTTTTTAAGCACGTGTCAAGACTTCTGTCTCGCACTGCTGATGTGATCCTCCTTTTTTGTTCCCTATTAATGATCTACGGTAATTTGTGATATTGCCCCCATAAAATAATAAGGCTTTATTGAAATCATTGTGATACAGAGATTTGATTTCTTGTGCGTGCTTTGGATAAAAAAGTAATTCTGTCAAGACTGAATGTAATTTACCAACTGCTCCTCAGTCCAGACTGACTTTATGGTTCATACGTGTCAACTCAGGGAACTCCTGCCGTGACCTCTTCTCTGTGAGCACACACACACACACGCACGCAGAAGGACAGAAACAGAAAGATCATTAATGCAGAGGATTGCAGCAGCTATTGGATTTTCACTCTGTTGGATTTCAGAAGAACCGTCACATAAATTTCATTATAATTTTTTTTTTTTGCCTTTGCTTCAATTTGTCTTTAAATCCTTTCTTGTTCAAATTGTTTATTCACATAGTAAAGAAGTAGCTCGGGAACTCAGTAAGTAGGAACAGCGATAGTTTAAAGACATTTTCTACAATACAGAGGATTTCATCATCCGCAGTTTGTGAAAACTGCAGTTAAAAAACTAATCAGTAAATTCACAAATGATGGACTCTTTTCAGAGGTACGCTTCATGTACTGATTAACATACAGTTCAAAGATGTACATTAGGGTGCACACTGGTTATGTGGATTTGCTCAAGAGTCTGTTTGAGCTAAAAACTTGAAATATATATATTTTAAATCAGTAACATAGATAAAATGTTTTTGGATAACAAACGAGTCACATTTTAAACACTGTTTGAATAATCAAAGACATATTTATAAAGGGCAGGCTACAACAGACATGCTTACCGGGAGCTGTATTGTCTCTTTTGCATAAGCCACACCAGAAACGCTCTGTGCGGATAGCAAAGTCTGCGCTGTGGGAGTGTCTGGACCCTCCACGCCAGGATCTGCCGCACAACCTCGCACTGGTCCCCAGGGGCCTAGCAAACTTGTAAGCCCTAGTTCAGCTCCCGAAAAATATGCTCGAGTTGTTCTTGTGTCCGACAAAAATGAGTTCTAATATGTTTTATTTTTAATGTTACTGCGTTGAAGTTAGCACAACTTAAATTGAAAAAATTATTAGTCTCTTAAATGAATGGCATCTTGACGGGGGACTCGGTGAATGGCTTAAAAAACGAATGCATTGTTTTACATCTTGTGCACTTGGGCACACTTCAATGAAACTCGAAAAGTGGGAAAAACAATATGGAGATGATGACTTGACATTTGTTAGGGAGGAGTGTAAGTACAGAGAGGAGGAATTCCTACTTCCCATTCATGTACTCTGCAATGTGCATTGTGTCCTTGTAACGTGTTTACTTTTTTCCTAAATAAATAGGTGCGAAAAAACCCATCAAAGTTGAGGTAAGTATTCACCACAGTATCGTGTTTTTTTTTATTAGGGTCAAATTTCTCTTTGGGTAAAAATTAAGCCAAAATCCAA